AAATCATCCGGGATAAGTTCCACTGCAATGCCGACAGTGTCGGGGGCCTTGTTCACTTTCAACCGACCGATCGCTCGCTGCAACTCTTGCAATGTAAATTCCACTGCACCCAAATGTTCTGGCATTGCTCTTTCGTGGACCGGGCCAACGAAATCCAATTCAAAGAGATCAGCAAATTCGTCAGCGAGCGGTTGTTGAACCATCTGCCGGGCGAAAGGTGAGGACAATTGCCTCCGTAAGTGCAAATACGTGGCGAGCCGCGTTGCTCTCCGTTTTTTCAGTTCCGAGCGGTGCAATTTTCGGATTTGCCAACTAAGATGTTTCCGTTGTTCTGGCATGATTGCGCGTCCACCCACATTAGCCCTACACAAGGCAGGAGCCATGATTTTGCCACACATGCCAGCCCCCCCAACCCAGCCGCCTCGTCGCGCCTTAATCCCCACCAGCAGCCCAGGCAGTCTGATTTAGCCATTCGCACGGTGGACTACTGCGGCAAAATGGCGTGAGGAAAAAACAAAAAATTTAGGTTCCATTTTGTCACAGCAAAACATCCGAATTGGTCCAACAAAGGCAGTCGGACCAGCGGTTGGAAGCAAACCGACACCGCGTGGCAAGAGCACCCGCGTTCTGATAAACGGGCAGCGCCCCTGGTCCCGTGGCACCATGCCGTTTCCACCCTGCGGACTTTCATGGCCGATGCCGGCACGTCGCTTCAACCTGCTGCGGCCAACTTCGCCGCCCAGCTCCCGGAAGCCAGTGCGCACCTTCCAAGAGTATTGCCGTACACTTGCCCTGGGCACCCTCCACGCTGATGCAACGAACTGGCTACATTGCAGTAACCGCCCTAGGAACCTTGCTCCAGTGCTACCTGGGAAAGCGGGGAGCGGCCTTGGCCTTACACCAGCGACACTCACAGCTACACCGGCATTCTGGCCCTCTTGGGCCGGTGCGCTGCCAGTGGTACAACACCAACCGCCCGCACTGCCAACCCTCCTCTTTGAACAGCTGGCTGCTCAGCCCATCCCTACACCCCACATCCAAGCCGCACAGCAAGCCAGGGCACACCTTCAACAGCACGCGCGGGACCCGGCAGCTTGCGGGGCTTTGGCCAATTCCAGGCCACCGCCATGTGCGCGGCACGGCTCCAACAGCAGCAGGCAGCAACCGCGCCTTGATTCACAGAAGCCAGGGCCGCGTTGTAAAACACCTGGGGGCCCTTGGGAAACGCAGACCGAGCCATGCTTGACCCCCAACCCGGGCCATTTGCCAACCGAGCACTGGGTTAGCAGTTGTCCTGTGGGCGGGGGCCATCTGTGTTTAAACAGCCGTCTGTGAAAGGGACGAAGCGCTGACCACCGTGCAGTGATAGTTCCTTCGGGTGATTGGCGGTGTCCGGAGTACCCCTGTCTAGGCGCAGGCTGCATGCACGGTGGCCGCCAAGGTGGTCTAGAGTGTGGCAGCTGCACGTGCGTTCCGTCGAGGCAATGGGAATCGAAGACGCCGAAGGAGCTGGACTCTGGAATAAAAGTGCCCGTATGTTGTGTCAGGGCCCAGCCACACATCCCAATCAACTTCCCCCATGAAAACATGTTCAGATGTTCTTTGGTTCTGGCCTGGAATTGGGCCGCCCGGTGGCCCTGGATTTGTGCTCGGTGAGCCGCGTTGGTCTCACTCGGTCTCACCCCACCATTTCACCGTCTGAGCCCCCAGGAAGGAGAGCATGCATCCGCGAGAAAAAACCGGGCGAAAATTATATATCATTTTTGTAGGACAGGCAAGCAAGACCACAGGATGGAAAACTGGAAAGCATCCTGTGCCAACAAACCGGACGCAGGGATGGCTCATAGCGGCTAGCGGCAGTGGGCAGGAACTTTAGGAGCCAAACAAAGAAAGGAACCGCTTCAAACAGTAAGTGCGCATCCGTGACCAGTGGGTGCTGCCTTCTGATGCGTAGTCTTTTCGACAAAGTATAGCATCAAAGAACGCTGTCCCCTGCCTGAAAAATCAAAAGGTTGCCTTTGACTGCAAGGCTTGGACACACGGTTCTGGATGGCTAGCAATTAAGGTGTGTGGTTGGCTGTGAACTGGTGGTTGGTTTTGAGAGGCGCATGACTGTGGTAAGTCAAAGCTTTGTCGCTGGGGGTAACCATCTTGCTCCTTGAGGTTCCGTCCCTTTTCCGAAGAGCGCAGGTTCCAAACCATGGTTGTGATTGGTCGTGAAATCAGCATTGATTGTTTGTAATTTGGCTATGGTTGGAGGTTGCCAGCTTCAAGTTGATGTTGGGTTTGCCACAGCAAAAGGCAAAGGGCACGCAACACGAACCCACCAGAGAAAAACCATTTCGATTCTTTTTGCTCGGCAGTGGGTGTCATCCAAGGCTAGCCCGTCCGAGTGCTTGTGAACGTTGTTGTTGTTGTTGTTGAGCATGATCCAAGCTGCACATGCTTCCGTGTACGCATGTTGAACCGTGTGATTGCAACAGAAACACTAGTGACAACAAACCAGTGGGTTGAATTGAGCAATTCGGATTTGTGGCGCAGCGTTTCAGCAAAGTGAACCACATTCGCCCTTGCTGCAATGGACACACCTCAGGCGTTTGCCAACGGATGTGTTGATTGCACATTTGATGGAGGGGGTGCACAATGAACAGTGAACAATGTTTTTGCCGGCCCAATGGTGTTTTGTTTGGTCAGGCCCAAGCGTGCTCGACCAAATGGCGGCTGGAACTCGGCGATTGTGGAGAACTTCCACGATTGCCCGGTGACAATGACGCTCTGCCAATGACAAGTCGAGGGAAAACGTTGTAAGTACATAATTAAGCATGAAACCACAATTGTCGTTTCACGTTGCGCCAGCTCAGGAAGGAGTGTTGCGAATTTCATGTGGCGATACAGTCTTGGACTTACAATCGTTTTGGATTCTAGACTCCGAGTGGCTCTTTGGGGACATTTGGTTTCATTTGTTCCAAGGTGCATGTGGCCCTCTCAGCTGGGAGCGCCCCCATGTTGTGGAGTGCGCCCAGCCTGGTGATTCAAGATGAACTGGGTGAAGTATTTTTGATCGAAGGTGCGCTGAGAGATTTAACCATTTCCAAATGACCAGCTGCTACGTTGGTTTTGTTTCTCAGTTCTTTTTGAACAGGCGACATGCAAGCCACAGCAACTGCAGACTGGATAGTGGAATGGTGCCCAGAAAGGCAATTTGTTGTTGCATTTTTGGCAGTGAGAGATTGTTCCGGAACACTTTGCCAGGCCTGGCCCCTATGAGCTGTATGTGCAGTATGAAAGTGCAGAAGGGACTGAAGCAGAAACAGTTGCGGGGCCAGCCTTCCAGCTGGTGGTCATGGGCTCAATGATTTGAACAACTTAGTGCTTTTTTATTACCATACTAGGTGGTAATGTGTGAATGATTGAAGGGGCATGCGGCATGCTGATGCATTGAGGTGGAACCGGTGTTGCGCCCCTCGGCATTTTCCAATTCATTGTTGGACATCGTAACCCATGGCGAGTGGAACAGATTCTCTTTGCAGAAGCCTGCTGAAGAGATGCAGTGCTTCTGAAGTGTTAGGTGTGCAGGGCAGTCACCTTCCGGCGCGTTCTGTGCCTGACCTTAGATCAAGCAGTTTGTTGAAATCAGCCATGCCATGCAGAGCACGGACACTTGGAAAGGGCGCAAACTCCATGAAACCCAGTTCCTCAGCGGGAGTTGACCTCTGAGGTGACTCAGCTCACTGTTTTGTCGCGCTTGGCAGGGCCTATCGAGAGATGGCCTGAAACGCTTTTGCCGCAGGCCCACGCCTATCCATGCATGCATACATAACATAACAGAACATAACAGAGAAACAGAGAACAGATAAAAGAGAACACAGACAACAAACAACAGAGAACAGAACAGAACAGCACAGCACAGAGCAGAGCAGAGCACAGCAGAGCAGAACAGAACAGAGAACAGAACAGAGAACATTGCCATTGCCTATTCCGGAGCTTTGGAGCACAAATGGAAATGCATAGGTTGCATGCCACCGTGGCTCATGCCACCTTGTGCCTGGACCACAGGCCACTTTGGGATACAACATGATCCATTTCACACCTATTCAGCCACCAGGCAAGGGTGTGTGACTGTGTGTGTTTGTGTCTCATTTCTAGACTCTGGATTTGCCCCCCGTTCCAAAGAAGAGGTTGACCCGCTGTCGTGAGGAGAAAGTGGGAGTTGCTACGCCTTGGATGACCAGGAGAGTGCATGAAACACGACTGCTTCGCCACTTTGCTCGCTATTTTTTCCCGATCCTTTGGGATTTGGTGAGGGAGATATCGACGCAACCCTGATGGAGTCACCACCGCCAGACAAAGAGGGCAGGCCTGCAAGTTGAAAACCAACTCAGCAGTGAACTTCAGTGTTTCTGAACGACTTCAAGCCATGCAGGTGGAAAGTTGTGCAGCAATCTGTGGACACACGGCAACAAAAAGTTTGCTCGAACGATCAGCTTGCGATTCTGCCAAATGACAATGATATTTTGCAAATGCTGAGGAGAAGTTGCAAGATGCTGGCCTGCTGTCTGCCATGGACATTGTGCTTAACCACTGCGCAGGCATTAACTTTGTGTTCGTCTCTTGAGCAATTTCACTCCAGCACTATGTGTTTGGCCTCATTTAGCCTCCAGCTGCTGTACCACCCCTCCAGTCACAGAACGCGGGGCCGACCTGTCAGGAAGTGCACCCTGGCTTTTGGAACAGCCAGAGTCTGCATACAATGCAACTTGGTTGCGCTGAAGACTGGCACTCCCATTTAATACCTATATAATCCAGCTTCAATTCAGTTCATTCTTCAACAGACTTAGCTAGGGCCTTTGTCGTAAGCCGATTTGCCTGGCCTCCCACTCAAGCCCAGCTGTGCGGGTTTGTATCAAATCACGCACACACACACACACACTCAGTTGTCATGCGAGTCAAAATCGTTGCAATTTCATTCACTTGATTCAGTTCAGACTTTGAGCTAAAGATTGCTGGTCTCCAGCCGTGGATGTAGACATTCTTTGTGGCCATGGTCTTGGTTACGCTTGGAGCGCTAGGGTTGGCTGCAGGGGGCGCAGCCTATGTCAAGACATCTCCAAAAGCGGCTGAGACTTTGGAAATCGCTTTGGGTTGGAAAAGGCCACAGCGAAGAACTTGCAGCGAAGACGGGGCTGTCCCATTTGTTGACCAAGATGCGCCCTTGGTGCGTTGCTTCGGGCGAGAGCGATGTGGTGAGCAACGGCTTTTTGCATTGTTCACCGACCAGGTGTTGTTGAATTCGACTCCAGGTGAGCCTCAAGAGACCTTCAATGTGACTGGTGCTGAAGTCACTCAGCAAGGTGCTGTGGTGATTTTGCAGTGGAGTGACTCTGCAGTTACACTCTGGTTTGAAAACGTGGACGAAGCGGAGTTCTGGGGTGAAGCTTTGGGCTTTGCTGCGGGTGTCAGCTCTGAACTGGCTTTTGAGGGCTCCCATGAGAAAGTGCAGGAGTTGGAGGATAGGGTTGCAACAGCGCTGAGAGCTGCTTATGAGCGATCGGCCAGGATAAAAGAGCTTGAGGACACCATTGAAGCAGGGAAGGAGCGTGAGCTTCGAATACATCAGCTTGAAGAGGTTCTCCATGACACTTTGGAAGAGGCTGAGGCCAGGGCTGAGAAGATCGAGATGCTGGAGTGGAAGTTGGAGTCACGAGGATCTGACCCGGCAGCCACTGCACTCTTGCAAGATGCAATGGACTTTGCAGATGAACTTTTGGAACAGCACTCAGATTTGTGGACAGAAGATGACAGTGCAGCACAGTTGCGAGAGGCAGTGCAAGCCGTGCAGCAGTCAAAACCTGACATTGATTCTGATGTGGCTGAACTGATTCGGCAGCTGGTCACGGCCCTCCGATGGCCTGTGGTTCTGCGAGAGCGTTTGGCAGACGCTGAGGCAACTATGAAGGAGCAAGAAGAAATTCAGGAGGAGGCACTGCGCGAGATCATAGACCTTCAAAAGCAGTGTGACACCCTCACAGCAGAGTCCGAGGAGCAGAAAACTGCACTCGCGGCTGCCAAGGAGCAGAAGAGCTTGACAGATGCCGCTCATGAAGAGGAAATGCAGAAGCTCAAGGAACGTGAAGAAGCTGCAGAACGCAAACGTTTGGAAGCAGAGGAAAAGGCCAAAGAACTTCGAGAGCTTCTCGACTACGCAGACCAAGCTGCGGAAGAGGCAGTTCAAAGAAAACGTGCTGAGTTGGAGAAAGCTCATGCCGAAGAGATACAGAAGCTTCGCCATTTGACAGATGTTGCAGACACACAGCAGAAGGAGGCCCATGCTAAGGCAGTAGAGTTGCACGAGCAGCTGGCTGCAGCAGAAGCTGCAATAGATGCACGTGCTGCGGAAGAGACTGAGAAGCTGAGTGCTAAGCACCAAGAGGAAATTACAAGCCTAAAGCGCCAGATTGTGAGAGCAGAGGAACAACGGGACCATGCAAAAGGACAGGCCAATTCTTTGAACAAGCAGCTGGAAGATTCTCAAACAGCAAAAAGTGAGGAGCTGGACCACCTGAAGGAAGCCTTGGACGAGGCTCGAAAGCTCCAATCTGCAGACAGAGAGCTTTTGGAGGAGAGGCAGAAGCAAGACGCGCACTACGTCGCCGAACTGGAGGAGCTGAAGCGGAACAGGGAGGCGAGTGATCGCAACAGAGCTGAGGCTGAAGGACATTTGAGTGAGTTGCGGGAGATGCTTGCATCGGCACAGAAGAGGAGTGATGATGCTGTTGAATCCTCAAAGTCGATCGAAAGCAAGCATGCGCAGGCGGTGGTTGAGCTTCGAGGCATGCAAAGCCGCTGTGAGTCGGCTGAAATTCAGGAGGAGCTTGCAGAGGCCAAAGCTCAAAGGCTCAAGGAGAAGCTCATGACAGAGATGCAGGCAGCGCAAGCAGCAGATGAGGGAAGCAAAATGCAGAAATTGGAGAAGGCAAGAGATCGAGAGCTTGAGGACGTGCGGCAACTCCAGCGTGAAGCGGAGTCCAATAGGAAAGCAGCTGATGCCAGGGCGGAAGAGCTTCGCAAGCGGTTGGAGGAAGCCGAGAGGAGAGCGCATGAAGCCGCCCAGCAGCAGAAAGCTTCCCTGGATGCCGCGCGCGAAGAGGAGGTGAACAACTTGCGGAAGCAAATGCAGACCGCAGAGGAAAAAGTCGATAAGATGGAATCACAAGCCAGTCAATTCCGAGAGAAATTGGCTGCTGCTGAGGTGTCGTTGAGTGAGGAGGCTCAGCGCCGCCGTGACTTGCTGGAAAGCGAGAGACTTCGCAGCTTGGGTGAAGGAGGTGCAGATGCCGCTCATTGGAAGATTGCAGCTGATCAAGCCCACGAGCAGTTCTCGAGTGAGCGAGAATTCAAATCGGAGTTTGGTGGGAAGGACAAAGAGTTGGAGCAACGCCTTGAGAATGCTGAAAGGGCTTTGAAGAGTTTGGAAGCATCAGATGAACCACAGTCTGCAACTTAGAATCATGAGAATGATCCTAACCGAACACCTTCAAACTTCAAGCTTCAAACCATGTGATTGGAGTTTGCCTTTAATTGCCTTCGCAGATGCCTTCTTTGCCCCCAGACAGGTCGCAGAGAAGTCGCGGCGGCAAGAAAGGCCGCAGAGGATGAGCTGCGCAAAGGCAGCGCACTGCTTGCTCCCTGAGTGCGCCTTTTTCACCATCATCACGACGAGCTGTGCCTTCCTGTTGTCGAACAAGTGTTTTGCTCGGAGCCATAGCTGATCAACTCTTACTTGGTAGCTTGTTGTATCAGTCGGCATCAGTACTAGTACCATCGATAAACAAAAGCATGTTGGTGGTGGTTCAGAAGTCAGGTGCGAAATTGCCCACATTTGGCTGCAGCAGCAGAGCTTGATCTGAAGCTAGCCTGCTTCTTAAATTTGTTTGTGGACTTAGTTGTGCTTGAACCGTCATTTAAAGGCGACTGCCAGAACCATGTTAAAAGTTGTGAGGCGTGGTTCTCTGGCGAGCTCAAGAATGGGAAGTTCGGCGGTCCCAACATTCAGGACGCGGTGGTCCTTCTTCCGTTCAGCAAAATCTGTGTTTGTTCCGTGGCGCAATGCAGAACCACGGAGATCTTGAACGCGTTGTTGGTGGAATTCGCCAGCACGTTCTCGGGGCATTGAACCTCCGTGACTAGCTCAGAATATCAGGTCTTCCAGTCTTTCTAGTCTTCGGCTGCTGGAAGATGCCAGGTTGTGATGTTAGGAGCTGGGTTGTACTCCTTGGTGAATACTTCAAAGTGTATGAAAGAATGTGGTGCCTTGCAGGTGAATACTTCAAAGTCGATGAGGCTTCCTGCATCGAGGCTTGGAAGAACAGTCCCGACCCGTCCAGGACAGCTTTCTGCTTGCCATGGTGCCACGGTGCGCCTTGTTCCTAGTAGCGTCCTTGTTCCTAGTAGTAAGGCCAGGAGCCCCTAGTAGCGTCCTTGCTCCTAGTAGCGATGCCCTTTGTTCCTAGTAGCGTCCTTGTTCCTAGTAGTAAGGCCAGGAGCCCCTAGTAGCGTCCTCGTAGCGTCCTTGCTCCTAGTAGCGATGCCCTTGTTCCTAGTCAGGAGCCCCTAGTAGCGTCCTTGCTCCTAGTAGCGATGCCCTTTGTTCCTAGTAGC